AGCTCCCAGTTTACTCAGGAGATTTTTGTTCATGTATGTCTCTCTTAGGGTCCTCCTCATTTCCTAGCTTCTCTGGGGTTGTAGATTGTAGGCTGGTTATCTTTTGCTCTATGTCTAATACCCACTTATGAGTATATACCATTTGTCTTTCTGTGTCTGGGTTACCTCACACAGCATGATTTCTTCTGGTTACATCCATTTGCCTGGGAATTTCAAGATTTCATTGTTTTTTTCCCACTGAGTAATATTCCATTGTGTAAGTGTACCACATTTTCTTTATCCACTCTTTGGTTGAGGGGGATGTAGGTTGCTTCTAGGTTCTGGCTCTTATAAATAATGCTGCTTTGAACATAGTTGAACAGATGTCCTTGTAGTATGGATGTGCATCCTTTGGGTATATGCCTAAGAGTGGAATTGCTGTATCTTGAGGTAGACTGATTCCCATTTTCCTGAGAAACCACCATGCTGATTTTCAAAGTGGCTGTACAAGTTTGCACTCCCAGCAACAATGGAGGAGTGTTCCCCTTTCTCCACATCTTCTCCAGCATAAACTGTCATTGGTGTTTTTGATTTTAGCCATTCTGGCTAGTGTAAGATGGTATCTCAGAGTTGTTTTGATTTGCATTTCCCTGATGACTAAGGATGTTGAGCAATTTCTTAAAGTGCCTTTCAGCCATTTGAGATCCCTCTATTGAGAAGTCTCTGCTTATATCTGTACCCCATTTTTTAAATTGTTTTCAAGACAAGGTTTTTTTTTTCTGTATTGCTTTAGAGCCTGTCCTAGAACTCACTCTGTAGACCAGGTTGACTTTGAACTCACAGGGATCTACCTGCCTCTGTCTCCTGCACCCTATATTTTAATTGGATCATCTGGTCTTTGTATATTTTGTAGATCAGCCTTCTGTCAGATGTGGGGTTGGTGAAGATCTTTTCCTATTCTGTAGGCTGTCATTTTGTCTTTTTGACTGTGTCCTCTGCCTTACAGAAGCTTCTCAGTTTCAGGAGGTCCCATGTATTAATTGTCAATCTCAGTGTCTGTGCTACTGGTGTTATGTTCAGGAAGTGGTCTCCTGTGCCAGTGCATTCAAGGGTACTTCCCACTTTTCCTTCTAATAGGTTCAATGTGGCTGGGTTGATGCTGAGGTCTTTGATCCATTTGGACTTAAGTTTTGTGCATGGTGGTAGATATGGATCTATCTGCTGTCTTTTACATGCCAGCATCCAATTACTCCAGCACCATTTGTTGAAGATGCTTTCTTTTTTCCATTGTATAGTTTTAGCTTCTTTGTCAAAGATCAGGTGTTCAAAGGTGTGTGGGTTGATACCAGGGTCTTTGATTCCATTGGTCTACCTGTCTATTTTTGTGCCAATACCAAGCTGTTTTCAGGACTATAGCTCTATAGTAGAGCTTGAAGTCAGGGATGGTGATGCCTCCTGAAGTTTCTTTATAGTACAGGGTTGTTTGGGCTATCCTGGGTCTTTTGTTTTTCCATATAAATTTGAGGATCATCCTTTCGAGGTCTGTGAAAAATTGTGCTGATATTTTGATAGGAATTGCATTGAATCTGTAGATTGCTTTTGGTAAGATTGCCATTTTTACTATGTTGATCCTATGTATCCAAGAACATGGGAGATCTTTCCATTTTCTGATGTCTTCTTTAATTTCTTTCTTTAAAGATGTGAAGTTCTTTTCATACCGTTCTTTCACTTGTTTAGTTAGAGTTGCCCCAAAGTTTTTTATATTGTTTGTGGCTATTGTGAAGGGTGATGTTTCTCTGATTTCTTTCCCTGCCTATCATCTACATATAGGAGGGCTACTGATTTTTTGGGGTTAATCTTGTATCCTGCCACTTTACTGAAGGTGCTGATCAGCTGTAGGAGTTCCCTGGTAGAATTTTTTTGGGTCACTTATGTAAACTATCATATCATCTGCAAATAGTGAAAGTTTGACCCCTTCCTTTTCAATTCGTATCCCCTTGATCTCTTTATATCATGTTATTACTCTAGCTAACACTTCAAGTACAATATTGAAGAGATATGGAAAGAGTGGACAGCCTTGTCTTGTTCCTGACTTTAGAGGAATCGCATTGACTTTTCTCTCCATTTAGTTTGATGCTGGCTGTTGGTTTGCTGTATATTGCCTTTATTTTGTTTAGGTATGCCCTTTTACCCCCAGTTGCTCCAGGACCTGTATCATGAAGGGGTGTTGGATTTTGTCAAAGAATTTTTCAGCATCTAGTGAGATGATCATGTGTTTTGTTTTGTTTTTTTCTTTCAGTTTGCTTATATGGTGGATAACATTGACAGATTTCCATGTGTTAAACCATCCCTGCATCTGGATCATGGGGAATGATTTTTCTGATGTGTTCTTGAATTTAGTTTGCCAGCATTTTAGGGAGTATTTTTTGCATCAATGTTCATGAGGCAGATTGGTCTGTTGCTCTTTTTCTTAGTTATGTCTTTGTGTGGTCATTGTACCATCGTAAAAAGAGTTTGGCAATGATCCTTCTGCTTCTATTGTGTGGAAGAATTTGAGGAGTATTTGTATTAGCTCTTCTTTGAATTTCTGGTAGAATTCTGTACTGAAGTCATATGGTCCTGGATTGTTGTTGCTTTTTTTTTTTTTTTTTGGTTTTTCGAGACAGAGTTTGTCTGTATTGTTTTGGAGGCTATCCTGGAACTCGCTCTGTAGACCAGGCTGTCCTTGAACTCACAGAGATCTGCCTGCCTCTGCCTCCGAGTTCTGGGATTAAAGTGCGACCAGTGCCCGACTCCAGTGATCACTTCTTGAAGCCTAAGTTGAAGGCCAAGGATGTAAAAATCAGTAGACGTCAAAGGTCAACCCAGAGTTGGCTCATCTATTCCTTGAGTACAAATCATACCTCACAGACTCAAAATAGTCTTTGACCTTTAACAATTCCTCAGATAAGGAAACATGTTGTCTCAAAATCTTCCCCATGGTATATATGTTCTGTCTGAGGCCTTTGAAGTCCACTCACAGATAGGCAGGCTCTATTTTTATCTTCCTTGTTAGCAGGCAGCCCAATTAACCCTTGCACTGCTTTGGAGAGGGAAGACATGGTATGGTTCCTGTGATCAAAGCACAAGTGACATTGAAGACAAAGACAAAGAAGGGAATCCCTGGCTATGACCCCGATGGCCACTGAGACCCTCCTGGTAGTGGCTCCAGCCAGTGTCTGGATCACAGACAGGTCTCGGGCTCCTCCCTTGTTGCAGTCACATGCTGCAAAGGACGAGTGACAACGCAGAGAAAGTCATGCTCATGCCTAGCTTAAAAATCAAACCATCCCTCCTCTCCTGGGACTGCCTCCCATTCATGTTTCTAAGGCAATTATTTAAAGACGATATGGTTTCAGAGATCTGTGGGACACAATGAAAGTACAACCTGTCTCTCTATATTCCATCAGCAAATCAATTCATGGTTTTCTATATGGAAAAATTAAATGCAGTTTTTATTGTGAATATGCATGTAGCATCTTTATCTGGTTGAGTGAGGATTGCAGATTTAATACTGGCCATTACAGCAGGACTAAGAAGAAGTCCCAACACCACACTGAAAGTCCTGCCTGGGGTGCTGACTCCTACTGTTTTCCATTATGCAGGATTGCTTTGTTCTTTAGGAGATGGAAAAGGAGCTTTGTCTTTGACTTAATAAAAGAAAATAGCCAGGGTCACACAGTACTTTATTTGAGCTGGTTTCTAGTCAACACACACACACACACACACACACACACACACACACACACACACACACACACACAGGCACGCTCATAAGCATGCATGGGCACACACATGTGTACGTGCACAGACAGAGAGAGACCTATTGATACAGTTGCAATTCTGATAGATTAGGAATCACTAGTTTTTGCTTCTAGACTTACTGCAATAAAAATGTGATTTTAAAGTCATTGGATAGCTTTCATACCAATAATGCCAATTATGACTGACAGAAATGATCTCTGAAATTACAGTCAATAATGGCAATTGCGGTAAAAAACTGGCTAACTGGGCTCTACTGGATGTCATGGAGCACACAGATTGGTTCAGGGCTCTTCTGGGATACCTCAGGGCAGTGTTGTGTCGCACCACAGATTCAGGCCAACCTCTGTTCACAAGCTGTTCTCACCTAGGTGCTCAGTAGGCTCTGTGGACCAAGCTGAGCATTACAGATTCTCCCTGGCTTCACTCACAGATGAAGCATTTGTATGAAGTAAGATTATTTCTTGGACTCCGACCTCGATCGCAGGCCCAAAGAGAGCGAGCTCCCCTTCCTCTTTCCCTTCATCTCTCCTACCCCCACGTACCTGTGACCACGCCCAAATAGGCGTGGTCAGCACTGCAGGTGGGTAGGTGAGATCTCTATCTACAGATAGATAATGGAACAGGGCAAGGACATGGTGACAAGCTGAATGTTCACATTTATACAGGAAACAATGTGGGAGTCACCATGACTTATAGCCCCATCATATTTATCATTTTTTATGCTGACTTTCTTTGGAAGCATATTTTAAACTGAGATGCAAAAATTCTGTCTTTTACATCAGGGCAGACACAAAATTGGTGCTGTCTAATATGGTGCCCACTAATCACATGCAATTTTTGTATTAATTACATATACGCAGTTGCTGTGGGACATGTGTGGAGGTCAGAAGGCAACTCATAGAAGTCAGTTTTCTCCTACTATGTGGGCTCTGGGGATCAAACTCAGACCCTCAGGCTCGGTGGCACGTACCTTTATCCACTGAGTCACCTCACCGGCTCCACGTGCTAAGTGAGTAAACTCAGACCCTCAGGCTCAGTGGCACGCACCTTTATCCACTGAGTCATCTCACCGGCTCCGCGTGCTAAGTGAGTAAACTCAGAAATGCACAGTTGCACCCCTCGCTTGCAATACCTACACTCTAAGTGCTTGATGGTTACGTGTGACTAGTGGTTTCTCCATTGGGCAGCATGCATGTTGAATGCCTCTCTCATTACAGAATGATGAACTGGGCACAGTTTCTCCAAATCCTACAAATAGAACTCATGGACTGAAAGGCATGGACCTCAAATGAAAGAAGACAGAGGATCACCTTGTAGCATCTGCAGTACCAAGCAGGCATTCCGTGATTGTATGTTCAATAAGTAAATAACCAATAAATGCAGAGTCCTGAGAGGCATGTGTGACACCTGTCTGACTTCCTGTCACCAGATTCTACTTCTGTTCAGAGAGATCCATTTCCCTCCACAGGCTTCCACAGTGGCAGAAATTTGGCTATAGTCAACTATGACCTTAGATGACTGACCCATTGTAATAATTCAGAGAAATTTTGTAAAGGCTAATATTTAATTAACTTAGGTTAATAGTTTTAAAAAGGAAAAAGGTCTTTTTATACGATTATAAAAATACTGTTTTCAAAACCAGAGTTAAGCTGTGTGCACTAAGTTCACATTTCTTAAAATAACTCAAATAAAGAGATATGGAACTTTCTGGGTATTGGTGGTGCACGCCTTTAATCCCAGCACTTGTGGGAGGCAGAGACTGGCGGATCTCTGTGAGTTTGAAGTCAGCCTGGTTACAGAGTGAGTTCTAGGACAGCCAGGGCTACACAGAGAAACCGTGTCTGGAAAAATCAAAACCAAAACCAGAAAGAAAAAGAATATGAAACTCCATTGTTTTTTGTTGCATGCCCACAGTGGATCCAACTGCCTGCACGTGTGTTTTCAGCGTTCCATTACTTAGGAATGCACCTTCCAGATGGGTCTCTGGAATAGTTCTCACACTCACGGCAGCACGTTCCCCCATGACCTGATTTGCGTGGACGTTGTTCTGTAAGCTATGAGAGCAGTTGCGGGTGATGAATTGACAAACTTTGTTGTCTACAAACACAATGCGTTTTCATCGGAAACAGCTTTCCTCCAGTGAGTTAGAACACACAGCTGTGTAAAAGTTGAAGCAGGGTAATTCCCACGGTCAGCAGCCACCCCTGGCAGCATCAGGGATCACTAGTTAATGTGTCTTGGCATAGAGTCCTTGCTCACACCACCTGCTTCCAGCTGCTCAGGGACAGGTGGCCCCAGAGTAGAAAACACACAGATGTAAATCAAAACAAAACACAGATTGGGAATCCATCCACATTCTTTAACTCCACAGTGATGGGAGTCCCCCCAAATTGACAGAGGGGCACGGGCCAAAGATGTGGTTTAACATTCATCAATCACTCTGGCAAGTAATATTTCTGTTGCAGAAATGCATGACGTAACTTTACCAAGTGGGCTAGCATCTTGTTCTACCAAATGGCCATTTTTGACTTTATAATTAATCACTTTGTGATATTTGTGCTTTTGACAGAAGGTTGGGTGTTTCTGCGCCTTCCCATTTGTGTTCTTAATTCACTTTTCTGAAAAATGAAAAGGTTGGAGAATAATAAAAGAAAAGACAAAGTAAGTCACCATTACAGGAATCTTAAATTATACTTGACTACATATGCTTAAACATCAACTATGTAAGCATCCTTGCAGTGAACGGCTAGCTAGGTTCATAAAAGGACTCCACATGCCAAGCTTCTATCGGTCCTTGGAGTTCCCCCAAGTGCCTGCTCCCGTGGAGATGACACAGGAGGCTGTTGCTCCTGAGGTGTGTAGTGATGCTGGCTACTCTTCACTGGCCGCCAGTCTCCTGTCCTCACACTCAATATGCCTCTTTGGAACTGGTGCCCATTGTTCTGCATCTCATCTTGTGGAGTTTCCCAAAACAGGCAGCTTCCTTCTTCCCCAACTACATGTGGGGACTTCTTCTTCAACACCATGTGGCCATGTTAGCTAGCCTTCACGTCTAAGTTTTGGGTCCATCCCTTATAATTACTTTAGGCCCTCATTACACAATTGCACAGTTCTATCCGTTATTCAAGTTGTCTTCTTTTAGACACATACTTGAAAATGTTTGATTTATGTTAACAACGTGGTATTTAGAAGACAGACAAATCTTCTGTGTTCTCGTTCACATGTAGAAGGCACGTGGCCATCGTAGAAAAATACATAGTAGAACAGCGGCTGCCAGAGAGGGTAGAGGGAGGGAAGCATAGAATTCCAAAATACAGCCAGACAGGACAAGTTCTAGTACATTCTATAACACAGTGGGATGACCACAGATAAAGATACTCTATTAGATATTTTAAAATAGCTCTGAGAGAGGCCTTGAAAAGCTTTTAACACAAAGGTGATATAATAAATATGCTTATTACCCTGATTTTGATCATTAAATGTGTCAAAGTATCACTCTATATCCAATAGCCATGTAGATGAAAGTTTAATCAAAGCCAGTGGTGGCACACGCCTTTGATCCTAGCACTTGGGAGGTAGGCAGTTCTCTGTGAGCTTGAGGTCAGCCTCATCTACAGGGGCAGTTCCAGGACAGCCAGGGCTACACAGAGAAACCCTGACTTGAAAAACAAAACCAAACAAAACAAAAAAGAAAGCTTAATCAAAACTTCAAAAACATAAAAATGTTACGTTGCTCTGAAATGACAATAATGACCCTGGAGTTGTGTGGATAGCGAAGCCAGAGTTGGGATGGTAACCGTGCTGAAGCGAAGCCCAGCATGCCCTCTACTCCAGCCTGAGCAGGCAGCACGTCTCTGCCAGATCTGGACACTGCTGGCTCACTTGTGGCTTCACACAGTGAGAACCCTCAGCTATTTTCACATAAGTAATTACTCCCGCCCTTAGGCAAGTAATTTAAAACACCTAGTTACACAACTTTATTTTTACCCTGTTAATATTTCTTGTTGTTTCCAGTCTGCAGGAGAGCCTGTTAGGGTTCTGGTCTTCAGTTCCATCCTTGACATATTAGCTTACAGTTTTGTAGCATCTGAAAATTTGAGAAACTTCTTTCTCCAACTCCATCTGCACTGTTGGCCAAAATATTGGACAGCCCAGTTGGATCTCTCTGTGGGAATGCACTAGAGACTTCTTTCTGGCTGACACAGAGATATTTATCTGAAGTTATTTAAACAGCTGGAAATCTAATTAGCCATATATTTTCTCTGTATTCAAATGAAAGTGTTTCCTGATTGTAGAGCTCAGTCTTCCTCAAGGGATTCTCCCACGAACCAAACAACTCAAAGCAGCCTTGTGGCGAGGAATTTTAGTTAAATTAAGGCTATCTGATCTTTAAGGTCATTAGCTGCTCTTGGCCTCCATGGTTGAACTGTATGTTGCGTGCTGCTACAAATATGCTTCCCCAGTGGTCTAAGAAGCTTGCCAGACTGTGATATCATGAACGTTTGAGGTTCTAAATGAGTTAAGAAGACACATTCATGTGGAGGCCAGTCTATCCACTCCGTGGCTGGTGGTTGCAAGTGTAGAGAGTATATAGGAACATGCCAGATGGGTGTGATCATCTAGGACCCACATCTTGGTTTTTAACACTACTCTCCAATAAAGTAACACACATTCTTTAGAGTTGTGACTGATTCTAAAAATGGAGCAGAAGATGAATCCAGAACGCATTTATTTAACCATAAACTGAGGAAATACCTTGAAGAATTCTAAGATATTTGAGTATGAAAGATGTCTAAAATATTTGAGTATGTAAGAGGCATAAATTTTAACTAAAAGAACTTGTTATGGCCAAAGCCTGAATAATTTCAGCAATAAAGTAGTGTTGGGCCATTATGTATAATACAAATGCCCATGAGTCCATAGTGATACGTATGATTAAATAAGAGGGGGACAACATACATATTCCCAGTACAGACGAATCCCAGCAATTCCTAGAGATATGATGCCTTCAGGGAGATTGATACAACTCCTTACTCTGTGAGTGTGGGTGCTTGCGGGCTTCCCCTTCCAAAAGGGCAGCGTGGAGGGAGGAAGAGAGCAACCGCACAGCATAGGAGCCTGACGAACACGGCTGTAAGGTGATCAGGGTTCACGGTCCGTGGTTAGTCATGCTAGTCTTACGTGATAAAGTGGGACCCTGGTCACTGTCTCACATGTCAGAACCCCAGGCTAGTGAGAAAATGTTGTTTGAGGTGAAGGGCATTCTACAGATATTCTGAAACCCGTGACAGCTGTGAAAAATGAGAAAAGCCAGGAGGAGGCTAAAAGACACGATAACTTACTGTAAAGCTAGAACAAAATGCACACTGGATGAGAAGAGAGAAACTTGAGTAAACTGTGAAATTTAGTTAACAATTCTACGTCAGTATTGGGTTATTACTGTGGTGAATGTACCAACAGAGAGAGTGGGTGTGGTGCACAGTTTTACCTACCAACCCCAGTTCTCTCTCCCTCCCATACTCCCATGCCCTCAAACAGTTTGCCATCCCACCCCGAATCCACTCCCCAGGGAGGATGAGGCCTTTCATGGAGATTCATCAAAGTCTGACACATCATTTGGGGCAGGACCTAGGCCCTCCCCCACATATCTGGGCTGAGAGAGTATCCCTCCATAGGGAATGGGTTCCCGAAGCCCATTCATGCACTAGGGATAAATACTGGTTCCACTGCCAGAGGCCCCATAGATTGCCCAGGTCCCCCAATGCTCAGGGGATCTGGTTCAGCCTTATGCTGGTTCCCCAGCTGTCAGACTGGGGTCCGTGAGCTCCTACTTGCTCAGGTCAGCTGTTTCTGTGGGTTTCCCCAGCACGGTCTTGATTACTTTGCTCATCACTCCTCCCTCTCTACAGCTGGATTCCAGAAGCCCCATAGACTGCCCAGTCCTCCAAACTGACACCCACATTCAGGGGGTCTGGGTCGGTCCTATGCTGGTTTCCCAGCTATCAGTCTGGGGACCATGAGCTCCACCTTATTCAGGTCAGCTGATTCTGTGGGCTTCTCCAGTCTGGTCTTGATCCCTTTGCTTGTCACTCCTCCCTCTCTGCAACTGGGTTCCAGGAGTTTGGCTCAGTGTTTAGCTGTGGGTGTCTGCCTCTGCTTCCATCAGATACTGGATGAAGACCTTAGGATGCCGTATAAGGCAGTCATCAATCTCATTATCAGGGAAGGGCATTTAAGGCAGCCTCTCCATTATTGCTTAGATTCTTAGTTGGGGTCATCCTTTTGAATCCTTGGACATTTCCCTAGTGCCAGATTTCTCTTTAAACCTGTAATAGCTTCCTTTATTAAGGTATCTCTTTTCTTGCTCTTTTTCTCTATTCTTCCTCCAACTCA